TTGCATCCAGTGGTGCTCGCAAAATTGTTCTAGAACGCCCTCAAGTTAGTTCGGTGGGTGGGCGCAAAATGACCTTAGCGGTCGACGCGCACTTAAACCCCAATAAACAAGTTGGTTCGGTGTAGTGTGGGTGTGTGACAGAACCGCCGGTAGGCGTTTCCGAAGCAGTCTATAGGGCTCCTTGTTCGTAGGCTGCAGTCATGAGCATTGTGTAAAATTGGGTCGTAGCAGCGCCTTGCCCTGAATGCAGTCCGTTCTGGGTGTTTGTGAAAGGCTCGGACTTACTCTAGCCAGCATGCATGGCAACGCAGCCGGCGTGGGCTGCGCCAAGACGCTTTTTTGTCCGATGGCTTTGTTTTTGACTTTTAGGCTTTTTCACGTCTGCCTTAGGTTTCAGCCGGGGGGCGTATAATTTAGACTGCTGTCTTCAGCTTCGGCTCTTTTTCACGTCTGCCTTAGGTTTCAGCCGGGGGGCGTATAATTTAGACTGCTGTCTTCAGCTTCGGCTCTGTTTCACGTCTGCCTTAGGTTTCAGCCGGGGGGCGTATAATTTAGATTGCTGTCTTCAGCTTCGGCTCTATTTCACGTCTGCCTTAGGTTTCAGCCGGGGGGCGTATAATTTAGACTGCTGTCTTCAGCTTCGGCTCTTTTTCACGTCTGCCTTAGGTTTCAGCCGGGGGGCGTATAATTTAGACTGCTGTCTTCAGCTTCGGCTCTTTTTCACGTCTGCCTTAGGTTTCAGCCGGGGGACGTATAATTTAGACTGCTGTCTTCAGCTTCGGCTCTTTTTCACGTCTGCCTTAGGTTTCAGCCGGGGGGCGTATAATTTAGACTGCTGTCTTCAGCTTCGGCTCTGTTTCATTTTCAACAACTGGCTTCAGGTTTGGTTTCAAACAACTCTTGAATCATGGCTTTGGCTTTGGGTTCACACTTTTTCACTGCAGTTGCGACTGTATTCACAAGAACAGTCCTGCCTGTCCTGTTACCCCAGCGTACGCACCGCACAGCTGATCGAAGCTGCGACACATTCATGACTAACGGCGAAAAACCGGCCGGATATTGTCGAGACCAATTAACGCGTGACGACGGCTGGAGAACTAAATATCCGAAACGCCTAGTAGCACACAAACCAAGGTCCATAGTCCCAAAAAACGCAATTTTGTTCGCGGTGCGAACAAGTCCTATTGCCCTGCAAAATCGCGATGATATTTTCTGATTCCACGGTTTCGGCAAACGCTAAAATATATTTATTTCTGAAAACAACGTTTTGCACCAGATTCGGATTCCGCTTTGATCTCGTTTAAGCTGATAGGTTCGGCTTCGGCTTCACGTTTTCTAAGCTAAAAGCCGATGACTTCGGCTTCGGTTTCAAACCACAAACTCAAAAGCTACCGGCTTCGGCTTCGACATCACGGCATTGTCTCGGCTTCGAGTTGGGCCTCGAAGCCAGCAGTCTGGCTTCGTCGCCTTGCCTGCTGTGGTCAGCACTGGCCTGGCCCCGCCGGCTGGCTGCCGCACACGGGCCGGCGCAGTGCTGGGGACCAGTTTTGAGATGCGTTTTGAAACAGTGCCTTTCGTCAAGTTGGCTCATTGCGCCAGTTTTTTTTTTTACAGATGCCACCTGGCTTGGTGCATTCTGGTCATTTTTCGTCGGCTAACCGCGATAGTTCACTTAAAGGTTAAGTTGCAAGAGTCTCGTGTCATTTCTCGATTCCATGTTTACAGCCAAATGTGCATGGAGGTTTATTGAAATCAATTGTTGGCACAATGCCAGGGTAAACACGTTCGGGTGGTATGAAGGCACCGATGTCTGCATGTTCCCTCCACTGCGCGCATCGGCCAGGCATTTCGGCACGCGCTCCCAGCCGGTAAACAATCTGGAAAAGGTGCCTTCAAGCGGGAGGGAGAGGTACGTCGCCGGGCTGACGCAATAGCGCACCCGGCGCACACTGGTCTAAAGCGGGCGAGACGCGGTCCAAGGTCGAGAATGTTACGTTGTGTGCACGAACGGCGCGGTTCGTTTCTAATAAGCGCTCAGTTACCACAAGCACCAAAACTCAGGCTCAGATCTTGACTGCGTGGGCTGCGCATGGGTGGAGTAGCTACTACCTGGGCGGAAAAAAAACATGAAGTGTTGGGCGAATTCTTGGGTGGTTGTGACGGTGATCGCGTTGTTCTCCGCCCGTACCAACTATATTCGACCCATTCATGCTTGCTTGCTTGGGTGGTTGTGACGGTGATCGTGTTGTTCTCCGCCCGTACCAACTATATTCGACCCATTCATGCTTGCTTGCTTGGGTGGTTGTGACGGTGATCGTGTTGTTCTCCGCCCGTACCAACTATATTCGACCCATTCACGGAGCCCAGGGTCAGTGGGATGTGACATCTGGGCGAGGCTGCTCAGGGCGAGGCTGCGGCTCATATCACAAGAGAGTTTCTGAAGGGCGTGACCCGGAACCACGTGCTTCGGCCAGGATGCAGGTCAGCCTGTCGTTCGCTGCAGGCATGCAGATCGGTCTGTCGTTCTCTGGAGGCATGCCGATCAGTCTGTCGTTCGCTGGAGGCATGCCGGCCAGTCTATCGTTCGCTGGAGGCATGCCGGTTAGTCTGTCGTTCGCTTGAGGCATGCCGATCAGTCTGTCGTTCGCTGGAGGCATGCTGATCAGTCTGTCGTTCGCTGGAGGCATGCCGATCAGTCTGTCGTTCGATGGAGGCATGCCGGTCGCGCCGCCGTATTCGGTCTGACCGTGTGCTGCGCTTTGTGGGCCTGCTCACTTGTGCGATGGTGATACTGGAAATCTTCCTTCGTCACGCCTCAAATTTCAACCTGTTTAATTGAAATCTGCAAATATTGCTCTGCTTGAGGTGACGGTGTGGGTTGTCGGTTTCCGGGCTGTGTCAGATGGACAGCCTTCTCATAACCACCCTGGTAACAGTGTAAAAACTGTTAAGCTTTGCCGCAAAAAAAGGCTTCTACTCGCCGAGGCTGAATGTCGTTCGGTCACGAGACCGCCGCGCCGTAGGCTCCGACACAATTCTTGTAGTTTGTGGTGGCGGCCGCGGGAGGCGCTGCGGACGGCGCGCGGAGAGCTCGGCCGGGGGCGGCCGGCGGCGTGACAGTACCAGCCACGTGACCGCGCTGGCGGAGGGGCTCCGGAGCGGCACGGGGCGAGCTCGGCGGAATACGCCCCACTGACGCCCGCTGCAGAGGAGAGCGACGTGGCACGCTCTGCCGTGTAGTTACTCGTGGAGTTCGGCTGGCAGTCTGCACTCGGTAAGAGCTTCAAAGAGGATGACCATTGGAAATGCCCACATGCCGGTGGTGGGCGAGTGGCACCAAAGTAGTTTGGCGTCGATGAGACACCAAGAAGCAAATGAAATACGTATTTCAGAAAAAGAGCTGATGGTCAAACGTGTCGTCCGCCACACGCATGGCGTTAACAGATTAGTCTTAAACACGTTATAGTTTGAACGTTTCCTCGCTTACTGTGATTACTGGTTTCCGTATGCGTGGTAGATGCGCACTTGTCGCTCCAATACGTTTCCTATAAGGCAATGTTCTTATATACCTTAGTCCATTCGTCTCTTCTTCCCGCCGCCACGCCAAAGTTGGTGACAAATGCGGCTGGAATGTTCTTGCCGGGATGATTCCCATTGAAACCTTTTCCGCGGCGATGTAGAGATGGACCAAATCTGCGAAAAAGCTAATACGCTTAATTTATATATATATATATATATATATATACCAGTTAATACCAGTCGTGCTTTATACGTCCAGTTGTGTGTGAAGAAGTCTACTATCTACTCGTGGACCTGACCCATTTCTGGGTGAGTTGGATGCTTGAAGGGACGTTGCAAACCGACAGCTGTCAAAATCGTCACTGTACTGGGCGTGAATTACCGGGCTGAATTCCTGACTCTTTGCATTCTATCCAGTCATGTGTCGCGCTCACGATGGTGTACGTTCGCTGTTTCCGCTCAAGCGGTGGGCTTTGATCTGAACGTCTGACCTTTGTCGGCTGTAACGTTGGGACCCGTCCTCTGTCTGGCTGGGTCGAGCATCGGTCCCGCGTTTTGGACCAGCTTCTAGCGTGGTGGGGTCGACCGTTACCGAGATCAGCTTGTGAGACTGGATGATTCCGAACGTGCATAAATGGGATGGTGCGGAGGCGCGCGGATCGTGTGGCGTTCTCAAATTGTGAGGGGTGCGCGCGTGTCGCGCGGCACGATACGCGTGCATCTCTCACAGTTCAACGACTTTGCAGACAGCTCCGAACTACCTGAGTTTTGCGCGTTTGGATCCTCCGTATTGAACCGACCCAGTTGGAGTTGCCGGTACGGGTTCAAGGTCTGCGCCCGACACGTATGCCCTACGGGCACACAGTTGACCCGAGTTTCCCGAACGCCGCTGCTCGCGGAGGTAGCGGTGAGGTAGCGTGTCTGTGATTGGTGTAGGGCCCAGCACCAAACGCGCGCGCCGACTCCGGTCCCAACGCCTCGCCTGCCCTGACAAGGCTCGCTCGGCGATGGCAACGCTCCCCAGCGGAAATTCAGCCAACGGCCCGCCACCCGACCGCGGCAGTTTCTACGGTTTTCCCAGCACTTCGCGAAAGTAGCGGTGTGGCACGATCTCTCCCCCGTTCTTGCTGTACTCGTCGGATAGGAGGTTCTGGGGCATGCTTTCAGTTGTTGTCGCGGTGCTGCGTTACTTAATATTTAAAAACACGCGTGCATCGCAGCCACCTACGCACCATTTTATGACGTCATTCCATAACCTACGCGCCATTCTTCGAAGAATAACTTTTCCGTGTTCAGTCTTACAACTTTTCCAAGCGCGCGTCACGATGGAACACGCGCAAGTGTTTCGACCACATTTTATGCGTGCGTTCAACCGCCTCACGCCACGTGCATCGTAAACAGGCTGACGGTGCGAGCTGGCGGCTGCGGCTCGCAGGCGGCGACCTTGGCGGTCAGTAATCGGCCGGTCTGTCGTATTGCAGAGCGGGAGATGTCGGACGACGCGCCCAAGCAGGTGACGTTCGAAGGGGGCCTGAAAGCTGAGGAGGAGGCCACAGTGGGCGTGTCTGCTACGGCAGCGGCGCCGCGGGTAAGTACCGACTCCGGCTTCGAGCCCGGACGATGACGAGTCCGCCGCTGAAACGCGGAATGACGGTCCGTGGAAGTGCACCGTCTCTCCCCCCATCGTTTGACGCTCATCATGACGCTGCCCGAGACCGGCTGCTGGTGCGGGCCCGTGTAGCGCGGCTGTCGCGCGCGGCGCCGGGGCCGGAGCGGCCGGCTGCGGCGCTGCAGAACCGGTGCTCTCTGAGCGTTTGTGGTGACGGGCGCGGCCAGGAGTCCCGGCTCAGCTGTCCGCTGGGGTCGGCGCCGGGACCACGTCCGGTCAGTGACCCGCCCTCGAGCTGGGCCGGGGTCAACGACCAGGCCGGTGGCGCCGAGCGGCCGCGCGTCCCGAGGTGTGGGCCGGCGGGGGCAGGGGAGTCGGCGGCGCCCCGCTCCCGGTGCTGTCCGGCCGCCGCTCCTGCGCGTCGGCTCACACCTCAAGCCGGACTGGGCGGCGCCGGCGGCGGCGCTGACGGCCGGCCGGGCCGCGCCTGGGGTCAGTGTTGGGTCCGCCTCGCGGCCCAGTCGGCGCCGCGCGGTGCTAGCCGGGCCGGGCCGCCGTCGGCCAGACCGCGCACGGCCAGTGCTGCTCTTTGGACGGCCACTGCCGACGTCACTGCTCTCAGCTGATGGACGCTTGTTGGCATCGTCCACCAGCAGGTGCCAGGATTTTGCTCGATTGATGTGCGTTTCAGTTTCACGCGAACGTGCGGAAAAATGTACTGACACATGGAACAAACATGCGGTCGGGAGGTGCAGCCGTGTGGGCATTCACTGGCCACACCGTTTAACGACAGAGGGCGACTCGTGTTGATACTAAATGCGCTTTCTCGTGTTTGCATGTTAATGCGAATAGGCTTTTCCAGCTGTTCGTATCGTCTGAAGGTTGTTATCAATGAACCTGCAAATCTAAGTTACGGTGATGTTGGACCAGCTTCACGCATTTGCTCCGGTAAGTTTTTTTTTCTCCGGAGACGCCTCTGACAAACCTAGTAGTATTGCCTTTATCTTGTGTGTTTCGGTATTTACGAACGCTGTTGCAGGGGCGGTCCGTAGATATGCCAGGAATGTGAAGAAGCTGGTATTCAGTTTACTTAAGTTTCAGATACGTCCTACAAATAACTGTCGTTGGTCAACTGGGTCCGGAAATTACTTTATTGATAAGCGGTATGGTATTGTGGAATCGCCAAGGTCCCAAAACAACCCGTATCTTTAGCCACCATGGTCCCAAATTTCCTCCTCTGGTAAGCAATACCGTAGTGTGCCGTAGCTAATTTCGGGGGCCTTTACGAAGGCGCGTGGCGACCGTTGCTGTGGTTCTGTGCAGGAAGCTCGGGTGCTTGTTGGGGTGGGAGTCAACGGCCTTGCCATCATTGTTGGTGTGGAAACGACTGTTGGGAGAACATATGGGTCGCACAGCTTATAGCGAATACTTTCGAGTCGTTTTGACGCGTATGACAATGCCAATAGCCGTTCATATAAAAACTTATGATTGTTCAAAAAGCCTCTGTCGCGTAATGGTCTTTGTGGTGTTCACAGCCATGAAAAGTTTTATGGAGCTTTGTACAGCTGTCGACACAGCTATATGGAGCTGAACACAAGTGCAGATTAATTGTTAATAGGATATTTTGCACGCCGTTGGCATGCATTTGGATGACGCGACAACTGGCTGTTCGTAAGCATTCATCTCTGTGGGACAGTCGCTTTATCTGGCCTTATCTCTTTCTGCGTTCTCAGCGTAAAAGGGCAGACGCTTGTTTAGCGGTATATGTAGATAAGCGCATGCATGATCAAGCCGCCGACATTAATTTGTGTATGTTTCTGGGAGCCAAGGCGTGACATGGTGGTTTCAGCAGCACGTGGCACCTTCGCTGGCAGGCAGGGTTGTGCAGCCCGAGCGCGAGAGCGTATGTTGTTCCGCTTGGCGTCGTGGTATGTGTGTGAGGAATGCAGGGTGCAAAGTCAAATTATGATTTAGGTAACGTATCACCGGAGAAAGGGCTACAACATGTATTTGTCCGGGCTGCGAGGGCCGTCTTTTTCTTCATCGGTTGCATTACATTTGATAATGTTCATCCAGCAGACTTACCAACGACAGCCTCAGTCCAACAATGGCCTGCGGATTAATAAAGAGAACGCTAGCAGTGGCCCCACTACATTCGTTCAATCATTTCACAATAAACCATCTGCTGCTGCGTTCACCCAGTCTCACCTAGGCTGGGAATCTCGTGCTACTGCAGTGTGTATAGTAACTCACTGCGTTCGAGCACAAGTTGGCGTTATTTCGAAATGCATTGTATGTGCTCGTGTGCGTAAAATAAACATCTAAAACGATGTACGGCAGAGTGGCTTTGACTTCTGATCGTGTCCGTTGCTGTCCGGTTAAAGCCACGGCTATAGCCGGTCACGTGGCGTGTTAGTTCGGTAGTCCTGGCCGCAGGTCACCGGCGCCCGTGTTATTATCAGCGCGTCTTTTGCGCCGGCGTTCCCCTGATCACTCCTGCAGCTCTCGTGCAAACCAGCAGCGATGAATGCCGCATTATCAGGCTCCCAGTACGGCGTCTGGCGCCGTTTGCCGTTCGCCGCGTGCGTCGCGGCGGCGGGGCGGCGGGGCGTGCCGCTGTTTGCGCCGGTACGCTGCCTCCTCCACGGCGACGCCGTCACGGCGATCGCCGTGCGCTCCGACGATCGCCGGGGACCTTGGGAGCTCACCAGAGAGGAGGTGAGGCTCACCAGCGGGCATGAAGCGCCGCTTGAGTCGCCCCTGGACGTGCAGTCTGGTCTCGTGGTCTTGTGCGGTCTTGGATTGCCCCTGGACGTGCAGTCTGGTCTCGTGGTCTTGTGCGATCATGCGGAGACCGACGTCGACGGTGCACGGATGGGGCGCCGGCGTGCCGTGCAGGGACCGTGCATGTTTCGTTAGTTTTGCATCGGGGTAGGACGTGACGCGTCAGCGACGTGACGCGTCACTAATACGGTCCGGCCAGGCGCACACTCAGCGGGCAGGCGTAGAGCCGCTGCCGTCTCTCACTCCGGCGGGCAGAACGCCGAACAGGGCACGCCAGCCCGGGCGGCGCAACGGTAGGAAAGACTTCGCAGCGGCTGGCTGAAATGCAACGATTGATCGGAGCTCGACGTGCCGCGTCCATGCCCGGACGTGCCGCCGTCGCCTGCGCCCATCACCGCACGTGGAGGCTGCGGCCGGGCCTACAGGGAGGGAGGAGTAGGAGGTCACCCGATGACCACTGCGCGGTGCTGGGCGAGCCGTCACGAGCGCGGCGACGGTGACGTGGTCCTGCGTCACGGCCGGCCGCACCAGCCGGCAGCCGCAGCTCCCTCAAGCGGGCCGCACCCCAGCGCGGACGCGACGCTCGCCGAGAGGTGCATGCTAGACACCAGTACTGTGAGGAAATCTCGGCATCCTGATGGTGCTGGACGAAGCAGGGGGGGGGGGGGGGGAGACATGGTCCACGCGTTTTCCGGGATAGTTCAGTCTTTGCCATTAAAAATGCACGGCGATCGTTGGCTTCAGAAAAGAATGCAGCTCTCCGAATTCGTTCGCCGTTCCAACGTCCTGGAGTCTGCTGTGTGTTACGTGGCAGAACTGGATAGATACACGTGTAATGTGTCAGACTTATGTAAGCCCATCGGTCCATGTGGCACCTGTTCCGCACGGCGAATTGTGTGGGTTTTATGGTACGCACCACGTGAGGGACAAACAACAGATCACGACCGAGAAAACGCTGCACACATAGTGACATCGCTGGGTGCTCCTCGTGGTTTAAACCATAGTCTGGCGCACGCGGCGTCTCTCCGCCGCACGTTATGAAAGTTACCTGCCACGCCTCGCCTGCCTGCACCGGGAGACATCGCTGCTGCGCCCTCCGACTCGTCCGCGTACGCGCCGTCCGACCCCGGCGCCACCCGACCCGGGCTCGACCCCTGCTGCCGGCGTCAGCGACGGCTGGCCGCCTGCCGACAGCGGACCGGCGGCGCAGCCGGGAAGGCGCTACAGGAGAGGTGTTTTGCCATCGAGCGAGCGGTCCACACTGCGCTACTCCGCGAGACGCCTCATGACGGCGATGGCGTGTGTCATTGGGAAGCGCGCAGCCGTGTTTGTCGACGGTTTGTCCGTAAACTAGCGCAGTGAAACCGTGCCGACTATCGCCATACCCTCACCACAACATCCACGTCCGCACCGCCCTGTTGTGTCGGTGTCTTCCGGGGTCGTTAGGGGGAGAGACCGCCCTGCTGTGTCGGTGTCTTGCGGGGTCGTGAGAGCGAGAGAAGGGAACGACGGTTGCATCACAACAGCCACGTCTGCACCGCCCTGTTGTGTCGGTGTCTTGCGGGGTCGTGAGGGGGAGGGACCGCCCTGTTGTGTCGGTGTCTCGCGGGATCGTGAGGGGGAGAGACCGCCCTGTTGTGTCGGTGTCTTGCGGGGTTGTGAGGGGGAGAGAAGGGAACGACGGTTGCATCACAACTGCCGCCGGCCGGCCTGTCGCGGCAGCTGTACAGCCGACCCTGCTCCGCCAGCCCTCTGCTGACGTCAGGGCAACGCGGGGGGAGGGAGGGGGCAGCCAGCCAGTCTGGACCAGTGTCCCCTGATACGCGAAGAGGGGGGGGGGGGGTGGCAGACAGCCTGGACCGGTGTCACCTGAGACGTGGCGGGGAGGGGGCAGCCAGTCTGGACCGGTGTCACCTGAGACATGGCGGGGAGGGGGCAGCCAGTCTGGACCGGTGTCACCTGAGACGTGGCGGGGAGGGGGCAGCCAGTCTGGATTGGTGTCACCTGAGACATGGCGGGGAGGGGGCAGCCAGTCTGGACCGGTGTCACCTGAAACGTGTCAGGGGGGGGGGCAGCCAGCCTGGACCGGTATCACCTGAAACGCGGAGGGGGCAGGCAGTCGGGACCGGCGTCACCCGAAACGTGCCGGGGCCAGGGAGCCATCATTGCGTAGCTGTCGGGAGACATACGGTCTA